TAGAACTTACATTGTCTAACTCAGCTTTTATTAAACAACATAGATCTTACGTATTATATTTCCAACAAAGTATTAGCAAGTAATATTGTAAATGGAATAGATCAGAATAATTTATAAGTATAAAGTAATGCAGGCTGTGTTATTTTAGTTCGACACAAAGGGTTTGTTATTACAGTGTGTACGTTATCCATTAGCACATAGTAAATGTTATTATTAAACTAAATATTATGCTACGAGAAACGTGTATCAAACTTAAAATTCACATACAGCACATATATAACTCGTTGAGTAATAAAGTAACATAACATTAGCAAAACAAGTAATATTAATCCATTTTCTAAGTAATATTTTTTAATAGGTGTTACTGAGTAGAAAATGTTGGCAATGATGATCATTTATCTGAAAGTGTATAAAATCAATTGTAATATAGAGCCTATCAAAGAAATAAATGATATTCAATCTGCTTGATATGTTTTAAGGAAGCTCAAACTGAAATTATATATTAATATCACTGACACTGTATTTCTTCCATTATTCACGAAATGAACAAAATATATGACTGTTTATAGCTTCTCAGCTTCAAGCTTTCATTGCCTCTAGCTGTGTAGGCTGAACTATGTTTAGGGTTAAGGGACGTAGACTTGAGAATAAGGTAACCTCCGCCCTCTAGCGGAAAAACTTCCGTGTCGAGAAGTCGTTTAAAGCAGTACAAGAAGTAGTGTATGGGCCTAGTGACCTATATTTTATACCATATCATGGACGAGGAGCATACAGAAACAGTCAAGACTAGGTCAGATCTTTATTTATCAAGAAGACTTCTGTGGTGAGACTTCTGTTTCTGTATACCTGGAATGTTATGTGTCTTATACACTTGTAGAGGCATAATAAAAGCTGGTGTGTGTGTGGGTGGGGGGGGGGTAATAACCGTTTCTGTATATCTGGAATGTCATGTGTTCTATACATTTGTAGAGACATAATAAAATCTTTTGTGTTTAACGCATAATAGTACGATTTTGTTGGGCTTAGATTTAGCATATTATCTAATATACGTGTATTTGTTTGTTTTGTTTTGTGGTTAAGTACAAAACTACTACACAATGGGCTATCTTTACAGTGCCCACCGCGAGTATCGAAACTCGATTTTCAATATACTGAGCCACAAAATAGATTGGACATGTATATTACGATTGTTTTCTTCATTTGCTTATAACATATTAAGAAATAATTGAAATATGTTTCCTGTAACATATTTGTTGATAAGAGCATGTTCTGAACTTTACAAACACCATCATATTTGTTGATAAGAGCATGTTCTGAACTTACTGTTAGATCATCCGTACTAAGTTTTATTTAGCAGCCAGCAGTCAAATTTCTTTTCATCCAATCTTATAAAAACAACATTTTTTTGTTTCTTAGTTATAGCTTTTCGAACCAATAATTTCAGACTTCACTTGTAAAACATGTTATTAGACAGAGTTTACGCGATTGAAAATTTTACATATTCGTATTTTATCAGGATAGTTCACTCAGATATAGAAAAAAAGTGATAAAAACTCTACGTGAACTCACGCTATTCGTGGTTTTCAGATATAATATGGTATCTCTACTTTAACCACCAACGTTCTATTTCATACTTCAGATTCTTGCGATATCTTTACATATGGGTACACTAGAACCATCTAGTGGTGAACATGTACTTTTAAAGTGGCACTAAACTATAAGATTAAAGTAAATTTATCAAGGTTTTCATTGTTTTAATTCTGCAGAGTGTTTGAAACTATAATTCTCTTGAACATTCATAGTTATCACTTAAATTTGGTTTATGTATTTGAAAATGAATCAAGTAAACGCGAGGGCGCTTATAGATTGTCAATGATTTGTTGGCCTGTAGTCGTTGTCAACTATTTCAGTGCTCTGGCACATACAAATAATTAATAGACATCATGCACTTAGCAGTGATTCGAAACCATGTCTACTGCATGAGGAGTGGATTTAAAACTGATATCGTTCATTTCAACCAATTGTGATTATAATAGGGTTTTCTTGGGTTTGAATTTATGACGTTACATTCACTGCTGCCCCCCAGTGGCATAGTGGCAAGTCTGAAAAGTTATAACGCTAAAACGGGGTTTCGATATCCGTGGTGGGCACAGCAAAGATAGCCTATGCATTGTGCTTAACTACAAAGAAACAAATATTCACCGCTTGCTGTATAGAATCAGCTTCAATGAAGTTCGTTATTTTTATTAATAGCAGTTACTGATCATCTCTTGTGTCAGTTACAATGGATCCTTATCATCTCTTGTGCCAGTTACAATGGAACCTGATCATCTCTGTATCAGTTACAATGGATCCTGATCATCGCTTGTGTCAGTTACAATGGATCCTGATCACTCTTGTATCAGTTACAATGGATCCTGATCACCTGTTGTATCAGTTACAATGGATCCTGATCACTCTTGTATCAGTTACAATGGATCCTGATCACCTACTGTATCAGTTACAATGGATCCTGATCACCTCTTGTATCAGTTACAATGGATCCTGATCATCTCTTGTATCAGTTACAATGGATTCTTTGCTCAAGGTTAGCATGGAATAGAAAACTAAAATTATATAATTTAGTAGTACATGTTCACCTTAAGGCTTTAGAGAAGTCACAAACATCGTCATAATACCTAGAAATACGCCCTCTAAGTGTGAGGGGAAAGAAAGTGGGGTAAGAACATTTATAACGTTACAGCTGACAGTAACATTTTTTAAATACTCGGTTATTAATAATAAAACAAAAAACCGAATAGTCTGGAAAAATAAAAATTCCAAAGGTATATTGCATTTATATTTCTCTATTTCATATGAAAAAGAGCTTATGGTTCGAAATGAACGTTTGGATCCTCTGATTAAAATTTTTACCACTAGGTAAAGAGATTTACAGCCTTTTGTTTCAAATCAGCTCTGACTATTCTATTGCACTCGAAGATATATAAAAAGCTATTGACAAAGCTTAATAAAATAAAACTGTTTCTCTACAAAGTAGACGGGTAGCATGTAGGTAGGGGTAAGGGCAACATTACATAAGACATACTACCAATTATAAAACATGTAGAGAATTGACCTAGTTGGACTCATGCAACTATTAGCTGATTGTGATATGGATTTAGTTTAAAGTTGTTAATCAGTATGACTAATATCACCGAATTATTATTATTATTTTGAAATATTGAAGAAGCGATATAGAACTTGACCATTTATAGCATTTCGTAAAAGTGAAAAAAAAAAGAACTGCGTACACTTTCAGTTCTATATAACACTGCACGTGTAAGAGAACTGGTTGGTGATGTCAGTAAATGACTGTCATCAGTGATTCTCCCAGTCGGGTATGGAGAAAGGATATGTCTGACGTCACTATTCACAGCAATGTGCTTCCATCATAAAAAATATAGTTATACAGTTTGCGCTAGTGTGCCTTAATAGTGAACAATGGACTTACGTTTTGTCGCTGTTTACAGTAGTGTGCTTCAGTCATGAACAATCTAGAAGCACAGTGTATCACTGTTTACATTAGTGTGCTTCAGTCATGAAATCTAGATGTACAGTTTGTCACTGTTTACAGTAGTGTGCTTCAGTCATGAACATCTAGATGTACAATTGATCACTGTTTACAGTAGTGTGCTTTAGTCATGAAATTCAGATGTACAGATGGTCACTGTTTACAGTAGTGTGCTTCAGTCATGAACAATCTAGATGTACAATTGGTCACTGTTTACAATAGTGTGCTTCAGTCATGAAATATCTAGATGCACAGTTTGTCACTTGGGGGCTTGCGAAAGCTTCATATGGCTTCGGGATTCACGAGTTGACCTACATATACCACAATTCTTCTACTACGAAACCGGTTTAGCGAATATGCCATCAAGAAAGGTGGCCACCTTAATTCTGGTAAGACAGGGCGACACTGAATACAGGTGTTTGTATGTTAGAGATAATGGCCCGAACAGTGCTTCACCTCGTTGCCTGAATTCCGTACGTCTTCGTTCTCCTTATTAAAGGTAGGCTGACTGAAAACATAAAATGAATATTTAATACAAGAATGTTATAAAAAGTCTACAATGGAGTTAATTATCTAAGTTTTACTGTTTTTTTAGATAAATTTTAATTGACGTAAATATCAGACGGCTAGCAGAGAAGTTTTGTTTGACCACTGGACATATTGTTAACCAAATTCTGTTGTCCATATGACCACTGAACATATTGTTAACTAAATTCCGTTGTCCAGTTGACCACTGAACATATTGTTAACTAAATTCTGTTGTCCATATGACCACTGAACATATTGTTAACTAAATTCTGTTGTCCATATGACCACTGGACATATTGTTAACTAAATTCTGTTGTACATATGACCACTAGACATATTGTTAACCAAATTCTGTTGTCCAGCTCCACATTTGTCTTTTCTTATCGGTAAGTAAATATAAATTGAAAAACGAGGGTTTTAAATTTCTGTAAATGTTCTTCGTTTATAGATATAAAAGTGATGTCAATCGTAGAAAGATATTTGCAGATGGAGGTTAAATTAATAAGGTAGTATAATTTTGTGTTGTTATCATGTTTATTGTCAAGCCATATTATGAGAAAGAAAAGTAGACAAAAAAGTTTATATATATGTATAATATACATACATATATATATATATCTGTAAACTTTAGAAACTACACTTCATACGTGTCGTCGTTTTCTAAACATAAGATTCTCATATACTGATATAATGTTTACAGTGTATACCTTAACTAATATATTTTGCTGGATTAATATCTACTGTGTTTTAGAACAAAGTTTATGAAAGGCAATTTTCGGTCGAATTCTATCTACCTAATCGAGGAGCTTGATAAACAATTATCTATTTTTATTTCTATCTGACTACTAAGTTACATTCTTATTTGGATAATAGTTATATTGGTAATAATTTTAAACAGTCGAATTTCTTAATTATTTTATAGATGCGGTACTCATTCGTGGTTCTGTTTCTTTTCCTGGGCCTGGTGGCATCGGAAAAACGTAAGTAGTCATAGTAAGTTAAGTCAGGTTAATGCTTTATCAGTCTATCTGTTTTTCTTACTTAAAAATTATTTCAATCAGCCTGTTTATTTTCTGACAACCAAAATATCAAATTACGATATCTTGCCCCCAATTGGTCAGCGATAAGTCTCAGATCTTACAACGTTAAATTCCGGTTTTGATACACAGAGGTGAACATAGCGCAGACAGTTCATTGTGCACCTTTATGCTGTAAAGCCAATAACAGCTATGACACCCATTTAAATTTAACGAAATATGTACTGTTTGAAAGATAAGGTATCGATGGACTTCTTCTTCCGAATTCAGAACGTCCGGTTTGATAATCTGATTAAACTTGACTTGTTATAAAGATAAGTAAACTTAATAAGCTTTCATTTGCCAAGTCGTGTGAAGACTGCGTATGTTAAAAAAAATGGGTGTAAAGAGAAAAGGCGGATAAGGTAAATTGTGAGAATACGATTCACGTGGAACATAAATTTCCAAGTCTTCATCACAAAATAAACTTGACAATTTAGAGTATTAATTAAACGATAGTATTGCCAATATCAGCAAAAATCAAACCTTCTTTTGTTTTCTTTAACTTTCAGTGCCATCAGGTACATAAGGCAGAAACCAGAGTTATTCTTTCAGCTTTGTCCTGTGTCACCTTCTATGTAGATATTAACAGTTGAGTACTAGGGGACAATCCCGTGGATTGGGTCTATGGGTGTTGATCCCTCATGCGGATACCTGCTACCTCGCAGAATTTCATTACTTATCTTACCAGTGGCCTTCTCACTGTATACTGTCCAATTAATTCCCCATCTTTTGCCTCTCCTAGCTACTCCATACGGTACTTTGTTTTCCAGCAGTCCCATTCCCTATAAATGTCGATAAAGACCTTCTATGGTTGCTGCTTTCGCCTTACTAGTGCATAGGAGGTCAACATCCTGCCAGTAGAGTTGTGCAGGATTTGACAAAGGGGCTTCTCTACGCTGGCATGCGCTAATAGAACCTAAGTCTGCTTTGATGATACAGCAAAGTGTTCCTTTAGGTCGACCTCTCCTTCGTTTCCCTGACGGATTCAAAAGAAATTGCCTCTTCTCCGTTCATGTCCTACATAGGACCATCTTCGATTCTTTGCTGTTGTGATATTGGTTCCGTTCTGGCTCATTGTGTTTAAGAACATCCTCAGATGTTACAAAGTCTTACCATCTGATGGTCATGATTTTCTTGATACATTTGTTTGTAAAGCTATTTTGTTTTCATTGGATTAGTTTGTTTGGTTTCCAGGCTTCAGAACCATATAATAAAACTGAGTGAATGTTTATTTGGTTTACAGGCTTAAGAACCATATAATAAAACTGAGTGAATGTTTATTTGGTTTACAGGCTTAAGAACCATATAATAAAACTGAATGAATGTTTATTTGGTTTACAGGCTTAAGAACCATATAATAAAACTGAGTGAACGTTTATTTGGTAGATTTTCTTCTTTGTTTCATGGTCGATGATATTTGACCTCCAGGTATTGTTTAATTTCTTGATTGCTACGCTGGCTTTTCTTTTTCTAGTCTTTACATCGAAAAAGATATCACCACTGGCATCGATGACATTGCCCAGTTATGTGAATTTTTCCTTCTTATTTAGAGGTTCTTCCTTCAAAGGTATGGTTCCAGGGGAAGGACTGTTGATTGTTATGACTTTATATTTTTTCTTATTGATGAATAATCGTATCTTGCCAACACAGTTCGATAGGTCATCGGTCTTCCTTTGCATGTCGAATGTTGTACTATGACTCCAGTTTCTGTGGATTTTAAGTAACGGAGTTTCCGGTCTCGTGCACGACCCCAACCTCAAGGACCAGCAATCTCTTTTAGTCTGATTTTTATTCGTTGACCTGTCCGGCTTGGGTGGCTCTACCAGGAATTAAAGTCCTGCCGTCAGAGCTTTCCGGTCATTGGTAAAGGCAATCCTTACCATCGTATCAAAGCAAAACTTAAACTGTACCCTATGATTTAATTAAGTAACGTACAAAACGATGTAATAGTATTTGAATTTTTGATAACGGACTTAACAATCAGGTGGTTTGTTTGTTTGTAGTTAAGCGTAAAGCTACATAATGTGCTGTGCTCGCCACGGATATCGAAACACGGTTTTTAGAGTTATATATCCGCAGACTTACCACCGTGCCACTATGGGCAACAACCATGTGGTTTCGTGTTGATCTTTTAATTATTTTCAGAACTATCTATTAAAAAAGTAATATAACAGGCAACAGTATACTTGTTCAATAAAATATATCATAACGTTAAGAATGTTTGTTACCATTTTTTTTATAAGTTGGTTACTAAGAAACATTCCATCAATTAACAGACAAGCAAGTCTTATTTAGCACACCATGACCTCAGTTGCACACTATGTGGTAGGAAAGTAGGCTTACAGTTGTACAAATTATCAGTTGAAAGAATCGGAATGCGGTATGAAGTCTATTTAATTCCTGTTCTGTGAAAGACGATTTATATTTACTCAAAAAAAGATGTGAGTCAAGTATATTGCAACAGAATGTTATTTTAAAATGTGTAAATTATGTAAATGTGTAAAAATGTGTAAATTATGTAAATGTGTAAAATTGTGTAAATTATGCAAATGTTTAAAATTGTGTAAATTATGCAAATGTGTAAAAATGTGTAAATTATGTAAATGTATAAAAACGTGTAAATTATGTAAATGTATACAAATGTGTAAATTATGTAAATGTGTAAATTATGTAAATGTATAAAATTGTGTAAATTATGCAAATGTGTAAAAATGTGTAAATTATGTAAATGTGTAAAAATATGTACCGAAGAAAGATTACAGGTACATGCAGCAAAGTAATTTAATGGTCAACAGATTATTATCCTGTTCTGAAAACGAAATATCTAAATGCAAAATACCCTTTAAATGATGAAATACGTATATTGTTTTTTGAAATAATAGATAAAAGTAGAGTGTACAGAGCGTTGCCTAGTGGTTATCGTGTAGGGCTGCGGATTAGAAGTTCTATGTGTGTCGCGATGTACTACTGAACACGCTCCACACTTTCTGCTGTGGGGAGCATTATAACTGTGATAGTCAGTTTTCCTATTTTGGTTAAAAGTAACTGCATAATAAGCAGCTGGTGCTGGTGACTAGTCGCCCTCCCTCTCGTTTAGCAGTTTTGAATTAGGACGACTATCCCTGTTTAACCCAAATATCGCTTATGGTGAAGTTTAGGTTGACTACGCTAAATAGTAATATTTAAATAAGAGTGAAGAATTTACACATGCCTCGATGCACGTGTAAGTTCCTCCTACGTAACACCGCTGATGAGAAGAACAATTGTAAAATTACAATTACTCTTTACTTTGAGGCATACAAAACTATATCCAATTAATAAGGTTGGTATGGCGCTTGTATGGAAAAGAAGTTTCAAAAACGGTTACTCTAATCCAGATTAATTTATATTTCTCAAAAATATGTAATCATCACGAAATAAACAATGTTGACAAATAGCAATATAAGACCATTTTCTTCAAACCTAAAACAAAGGTGACAATAGGCGTCAACACAAATATCACAACTTTACTGGAAAGAGATTTCAAAGAAGAATAAGGGTAAAGTAAATTCACCGAATACCTTATACCCCAGTGGATCAGTTATAAGTTTGAAGGCTTATAAAGCTGAGATCCGGGCTTCGATACTCGTTGTGGGCGTAGCACAGATAGCCCATTTTGTACCTTTGTGTTATTGTTTGTTATGTCTGCAGACATTCCACTGTACCACTAGGGGGCGGTGTAGCTTTGTGTTTAACAACAAAACAAACAATCTGCCTTACACTGTCGTCACTTTAACCTTCTTTATTGAGACCCCTTTTTATGTTTCATCGTATGTTTGTTGTTCAACGCAAAGATTCACAATAAGCTATGTGCGTTGTGCTCACTACAGGGATCGAACACCAAGTTTTAGCGTTATAAGCATTCAATATTACTGCTGGTCCATCTGGGAGCCCAAGATATCGAGAAATAAATAAAACGAATTAAAAATGAAATCTGTCCAAATCTTTAACAAGCATCAATAAGGTGACTGCCGTCAACTTACACATGACGATTAAGTTTAAGAAATATAGCCAATATTTTTAATGAAACTAGTACATTATCATCCAATATAAATACAACTGGCAATTTTCTAGATTATCGGTACGTTTACTTTCAATAAAAGTTCGTACAGTTGTATTAAATGATAGTTCTTTTCGACCTTTATTGTAGGAATAAATATTCAAGGAACTTAATCCATAAGTGAACAAAGCAAAATTCGACTACTTAAACTTACCACCGTCTTTGTTATGAATAATAATGATGATGATAATAATAAAGATTAATCTACGGAGAATTGTTTAGAAGAAGTTGAATTAACAACAAAGTTGGATATTTGTTCGGCTTGCCAACATCAAACTATCAGAAGACTGCCACTGCTTTATTATTATTATTATTATTATTTTTAATAAGCGACGATCCTGGATTTTTTATTACTTTAATTTGTATTATGTATAATTAAAAATCTTAGCATTTAATCGGTAATTAGTAAATTATGACCCATTAGTATTTTAATAAAGATGTGAGTTATTATGACTTCGGCATAATTTAGGGTAATAACTCAATATTTAAGCTTCACTTAGTTATTATCATGGCTTATATAGTTGCAATATGTTGTTTATAAAAAAGTAAAATATAACACTAAAAGCTAGACAGGAGTGTTCATATTACATATGTATTGAACATTAAGAAGATGCTTATTCATTTACGTGATTTTATTTTATTAAATTATTTTTGTGAAGTCACATCATATTCAAAATAAAAACAATTGTGTAGATATATCACTCTAACGTTTTTTTGTGTTTTCATTTTATTTTACCTTTCTCTTGGCTTATAAAATTAGTTTGCTTGTCTGTTTGTTTTAGAGCAAAGCCGCATTGGGCTATCTGCTGTATTTACCGCCCGGAATCGAACACCGGATTTAAGCATTATAAGTCCGTAAACTTACCGCTATCCCACCAGGGGACAGAAATATTAGTTACAAAATTTCTAATGCTCAAGATAGTCCGATACACTTTTTATGGATGCATAACACTGCAGTACATCTAGCTCGTGATTTGTACATACAGATAATCCATTGTGCAGCTTTATGCTTAACACAAAATTAAACAATTTACTGAAATCTTATACAAAAATCCTTATAGTATCAGAGCTAAAGAATCTTGTACTTGATATTTATTAATCAGATTTTTTTCTAAATTTTAATCACCCTGATGGCTCAGCGGTAAGTCTGTGGGCTTATACCGCTAAAAATCTGGTTTTGATACCCAAGATTGGCAGAGCAGAGATAGCCCAAAGTGTACCTTTATGCTTAACAATAAACAAACTATATTTTAATATTTAACTTTTTAGATTAGAAGCCCCAAGTCTTGCAACCCTATTTACAAATGTCGATCGTAATGGTAAATAAGAATCCGTCACAAGATTTAATAAAATAGGCGGTGAAAACTGTAGTAACGCCACGGATATCATGCAGGAGTTAACGTTTGTCCTCTGAATTATTCCAACTTTCACTTACTGATATCATGCAGGAGTTAACGTTTGTCCTCTGAATTATTCCAACATTCACTTACTAGTTTATGAAGATAATAAGTAATTGATTTTTTTTCCTCTTTCGCGTTTCAAGATAACTGATTTTCAGTGCATGGTGATTGGAAAACGATGTACTTTGTGTGTGTGTGAGTGTGTGAAAGAGGATCGAAAGCTCACGAAGAGAGCGCAAAGTTAAGTCCAGTTCAGTATATTTTCCTGGTTGTTGTTTTTGCCGTAGAACAGACACGGAAAATAAGTGGGTTGTGATGCATGAACTAAACATTAAAGCAGCAACTTTTGGTTAAAGTTCAATGACACAAAACAAGAAGTATTAAAATAACCTACATTTGCTGCCGTCTTTAAACGTATGGGTAAGTACCCAAAGAAGGCATGATCCGACAGCTTTCAAAAAACAAACAAGAGAGAGAATTAACCAATTGATCAAGGAGTCTGTATTCTCTCTTTCTTACACTGGATTGTACAAATATTGTTTGTCTTTTAATTTGTATTTGCAAACAGAGGCTGAAATCTTGAAAAGAAAGTCTAGTGACTTTGAGTGTGTTGACTTGTTACTTTGTTTGCCAGGACAGCATAATGACCTGGTTATTTTTGAATGGTTGCTTGTCAGGAATCCAGAATTCAAGTTCTTTGGAAAAGTTTATAAAACAAGACAAAAACCGTGTTTAACAAGCTAGAACAGAATAGAATGATTACCAACCACGTAGAAAGAGTACATTGGTTTATCTGTTCCGTTCACTTCTTAGTTTATCCTGTTTAACAAACAATATTAGATGGGCAGTTTTAATCGTTGTTGTTTCCCCTGATAAAAGAATAAAGTTGCAGTACCTATCCTTTATTGGTACTTAATATAACAATAAAACATTGCAGGACCTATCTAATATAAGAAGAAAACGTTGCAAGACGTAGCTACTATAAGGAAAGAACGTTGCAGGACCTATCTAATATAAGAAGAAAACGTTGCAGACGTAGCTACTATAAGGAAAGAACGTTGCAGGACCTATCTAATATAAGAAGAAAACGTTGCAGACGTAGCTACTATAAGGAAAGAACGTTGCAGGACCTATCTAATATAAGAAGAAAACGTTGCAAGACGTATATACTATAAGGAAAAAACGTTGCATGATCTATCCTTTATTAAGATTTAATATAAGGAAAAAACGTTGCAGGACTTATCCTTTATTAGGATTTAGTATAAGAAAACAATGTTGCAAGACCTATTCTTTATTCGGATTTGATATAAAAGGAAACGTTGCAGGACATATCCTTTATTGGAATTTAACAGCAAGTTTTAGGTTTTTCAAGGTCAATATGATAAACCATATTGCCAAATACATTTGCTTAGTGAATATATTAAATCTGCGTTTAACAAAATGCCTTTGAACATTATTGTGAATATTGGCACACTTTGTGTAATCGGTTGGCATTGCTACATCCAATATTGACGAAATATAGTATAAATTCGGCTCTGTATAATAGAACAAAAGGTGTTATATAAGGTAAGCATCTTCAGCTGAAAAATGAATAAAAATTGTAAGTCAAAATAATTCTAAATTAATCTTTGCTATGCTCATTCCCACCGGGGGACATTAAATTATGAGATACATTAACACTTACAAGGTCTGTAAACTTATTTTTATTAAATTAAACATAATCATGTACAATGATGCATCGTTGATACTTACTAAAGGTGTTTCTTTTATTCTTTTTATTATTATGACAGATACTGTAGTAAAAAGGGATTTGTCTGACCTGAAGATTGTGTGTTACTATTCCAACTGGGCGGCCTACAGGCCTGGACTAGCGAAGTTCACACCTCAGAATATCAACCCTTATCTCTGTACCCATCTGATTTATGCTTTTGCTGGTTTAAACAAAGACTTTGAACTCAAACCTTATGATCCATACAATGATGTTGAACAAGGTAATATTATATTTCAATCTTTCATGCTATGTACATATTAAGTTAATGGCAAGAAAAACGTAGCAAGGTAAGATGAAGTCTTGATTTTTTTCTGTTTAATTACTTTATCATAAGACAAATTGTAGTTTTAATATCTTTCATCTTTATAGTCCATAAGACAAATTATAGGTTTAGCTTCTTTCTTCTCTCTAGTCACTTTAACATGAGGCAAATTGTAGTTTTAGTCTGTTTCACTTCTCTAGCAACTTTACCATAAGGTAAGATGTTTTAGTTCCTTTCATCTCTCTAGTTACTTCATCGTAAGACAACTAACATGTAGTTTTAGTCTGTTTCATTTCTCTAGTCACTTTATAATGAGGCAAATTGTAGTTTTAGTTCTTGTTATCTCTCAACTCAGTTTATCATGAGGCAAATTGTAGTTTTAGCTTGTTTAATTTCTCTGTCCACTTTGTCACAAAATAAGATGTGTAAGATGAAGTCTTCGTCTGTTTTCCTTACTTAGCCACTTTATTGCTAGGAATATTTGAAGTTGTAGCTATTTGTATCTCTTAACTCCTTACGTTACAGAAGGGTGAAGTGTAAGTGTATTTTATCTTTTCATTTCTTTGTTGCAAGATAAAATATAACCTTAATTTCTTTGTTTTATTAAGCCTATTTATCATTATATAATTTATAATAATATGGCTTTATAATTTTAAAGTAATCTGTAGGAGTTTAGGGATCCTCTTTATATTTTTGCACTGCTCTGTACAACAGGTGTATAGTCATTGTTCTGCACTGCAGGTGTGTCGTCATTGTTCTGTACCACAGGTGTGTAGTAAAATGACATTTGGTAACACGTTAGTTAGCACCCGAATACAGAATCTAAGTGAAACAAAATTTAAACACCCATCAATAACTTTATGTTTTTTGTGCTGTTAGTTTTGATATTATTTTATCCATGTTTGTATGGAACTTAACTCTCAACAACGATACGATAAGTAACGAAAGTTGTGTATAAATTAATTTATGAGTAAAACACCTCATGATGCAGACTCTATGAAAAAAATTAGGTGCGTAAAAAATAAATTCAAAACATAAAAAATGGCCACTTTTAGATTCCTACCAATTAACTGGCTATAAGAATGTTAGTTATTTTGGTTGTAAATTTATTGAGAAATATTATCAGTGTAAGATGTCATGTACTCGACAAATTAATAAATACCCCAAGCAACTATTATAAAGTAAGATATAGTCTTAGAACCTATAACTAATAAATACCACGAAATAAGAGTATTATACAGAAACTTCTATTTATTTAGCGAATTTCAGAGGTTCTTTTAACCATTGAAGTCATACATAATCTGGATGTACTTCCTTAAGATGATCCTCCGACCCTTGTAATCACTTAATAAATATTTATCTTTCGAAATACATTTCTTCTGCTTAAGTAAAAATTTGTATTATTCATAAAGGTTATTTATATGAATAAAACACCTTATTTCGTTGCGTAAAGTTTTCGTGCATGTTTCATAGTGTGTTGAATATGAATAATAGACTAAAACCAAATGTGTTTGGTAGTTTCATTTTAAGTTAACTAATAACCTGATGACTTTGTTCTGAAATTTCAGGAAACTACAAGAAATTTGTTGGATTAAAATCTTACAATCCAAAATTGAAGACAATGATTGCCGTTGGAGGGTGGAATGAGGGCTCCAAAAGGTAATTTTATTTTGGCTTATTTTATTTTGTACAATATTATTTCAACTATTATTTTACAAAATTAACATATGGGTTTATTTTTTTGGAATGGGTGATGGGAGAAGGGATGAGTTTTGTGTTATAGCGTTTTGTAATAGGCATCCGTTTTAAATTAATCGATAAAAAGAATAGTAGATCCCGTTATATCCATCCTACAGGCTATAAACTACTTATACGTCGAGTTCCCTTTTATAATTGAATTAAAGTAATATTACACTAACTCGCAGAAATGGGCTCCATGAAAGTTAGGTCACCAAGTAATATGACACTGACACGAAGAAAGAGACTCCATAGTAGTCAGATCACCAAATAATACCACACCAATCCGCAAGAAGGAGCTCCATAGTAGACAGATAATCAAGTAATAGTACACCAACTCGCAGTTATGGGCTCCATGGTTGTCAGATCACCAAATAATACCACACCAATCCGCAAGAAGGAGCTCCATAGTAGACAGATAATCAAGTAATAGTACACCAACTCGCAGTTATGGGCTCCATTGTTGTCAGATCACCAAATAATATTACACCAACTAGCAGATTGGAGCTCACAAAGTAGTCAGATAACCAGTGCACGCTTTAATTTTGAGTAATTGACTATTTTAAGGTGCTTTTTTTTAATTGCTTCTAGCATCATACAAATAGTAGTAATGCATCTATAAAAATAGTTTTATGTTTGGCTCTGTACAATTTATATACCTTTGTTACCAAGTTTTTAACGCTAACGTAATGATGAAAATCGTAAGGTAGTTTCAATGGTCAGTCGTAGTTTTCTAGGTTACTCTTTCAGTCTGTAAGTAATTCAGTAACAGCTAACAAAGAACTTCTGTTTTTCAAACATCAAGAATATCGAGCTTATTCCGGAGATGTGTACTTTTTTATTATTTTAATCGTATGTGTTACTGGTTATGATTATCTGAAGAAAGTGAATTCTACGTTTCTCGAGCATATGGTATTGATTGTGTTTATTTATAAAATATATGTACTACTGAGTATGTTCGTATTACAAATGTGAATCTTCTTAACTATGTACATGTGTGGGTGGGTGTTATTGTTTATGTTTATTTGGATGATGTATGTGTGTTATTGGTTATGTTTATTTAGAGGATGTATATGTATTATTGGTTATGCTTATTTGGATGATGTATGTGTGTTATTGGTTATGTTTATTTAGAGGATGTATATGTATTATTGGTTATGCTTATTTGGATGATGTATATGTGTTATTGGCTATTTCTATTTAGATGATGTATATGTATTATTGGTCATGCTTATTTGGATGATGTATGTGTGTGTTATTGGTTATTTCTATTTAGGTGATGTATATGTATTATTGGTTATGCTTATTTGGATGATGTATGTGTGTTATTGGCTATTTCTATTTAGATAATGTATTTGTATTATTGGTTATGCTTATTTGGATGATGTATGTGTGTTATTGGGTATTTCTATTTAGATGATGTATATGTATTATTGGTTATGCTTATTTGGATGATGTATATGTATTATTGGTTATTTAGATTATGTATATGTATTATTGGTTATTTAGATTATGTATATGTATTATTGGTTATTTAGATTATATATATGTATTATTGGTTATTTAGATTATGTATATGTATTATTGGTTATTTAGATTATGTATGTGTGTTATTTAGTCTTTATAACTTCTGAGTAATAATCTAAGTCAAATCTAACAGTGTTCTTATAATGGAAAAACAAAGACTGAATGCCACATTTACGCTAAAACGTGCATATGACAGCAATGATTTTTTTTAAAGAGAACACAGACCTGACAAGTGGCTTTATGCAGTGAGACAGATTCTTGGCCAAGGACAACTTTCTTTTATCAGATCTACTTATATTCAATGTATTCTTTCGTTTTCAAACGTGCATTTTATTATTGGCACACACACACGTCTGGTTTGATTGTTTATGTATATATATGGCATTACATCACAATGAGGCTGATAATAAATTTTGACAAGCCTTTTTTTTCTAGCCACATATACTTTTCCAGAAAGAAGAACATGACTCATGTGCGACACTTATTACATTATTTTGTCCCCCAGTGGCACAGCGGTATGTCTGCGGACTTACAACGCTAGAAACCGGGTTTCGATACCTATGGTGGGTAGAACATAGATAACCCATTATATAGCTTTGTGCTTAACTTCAAACAAACAAACAAATCATGATCTTTCTAAAAACCCGTATAGGTCTACTAAAGAAAGATTATTATTATGTTCTTTCTAAAAACCCGTATAGGTCCACTAAAGAAAGATTATTATTATGTTCTTTCTAAAAACCCGTATAGGTCCACTAAAGAAAGATTATTATTATTATGTTCTTTCTGAAAACCCGTATAGGTCCACTAAAGAAAGATTATTATTATTATGTTCTTTCTGAAAACCCGTATAGGTCCACTAAAGAAAGATTATTATTACATTCGATCCCCGGGTTACAAAAGTGGTGTGTTCTTGAAAAAGCATCCGTAGCGCGAAATTCCGTAACTCGAACCTCATTTTCCCATTGACTCTCATGTTATAAGTGTAGATGCGTCGTTATGGAAATGTTTTTGATCCACAAAAGTAATAAAAACACACACATATGAATGGAAGAAAACATTTTAAAACACATATTAAATACAAGTGACATATTTTAATAGTTTTACTCACAAAAAATAACAGTAGGTACACAATAATTATTAAATTTTACACTGGAAGGGAGACTCAGTACTGATACTGACGTCTGCCTCCCCCTCCCCCCTTAAATCATGATGATGATCATCACTTCATCAACAACATCTTGATGTGGTGTAGGCTCAGCTCTTTTGACGAAGAATGCGTCGAGACTTGTTTGCTGTTTAAAATCTCCAGCAGCATTTCCACCCACAAGTAGAGACAGGCGATCTTTTGAAGCCTTGAACCATGATTCAGACTTCTCTTCCCTAAAAATAGATGTTTTATCTGGCATGCGTTCCCAGACCAGCCACGTTTCATCCACATTGGACTTGTTCTGGACTGTAACCCCTTCATCAATAATTTTCTTGAGTTCACTAGGGTATCTTCGTGCAGCTTCTACATCAGTACTGGCAGCCTCACCCTTTAGTTTTATGTTGCGCAAATTAAAGCGCTTCCTGAACCTATCAAACCACCCTTTACTTACCAGGAAGGGTTTTTATTCAGAACTACCACTACCACTTTGTTCAGTCACCAAATCATCATACAAACTTTGTGCCTTACCTTGTATAACCATCGTGTTTAATGGCACATTACGTTGGATCTGGTCCTCAATCCACACACTGAGGAGTCTTTTCATGTTAAGCATCACCTCACTTCTATGAATATACAATGTACGAGCACTTAGAGGTGTAGCTACTTTAGCACTTGCTTTGATTTTTTCTTTGTTATCACGTATTTTTCCCACTGTAGATATACAAGCCCTAAAGTTTTAGCAATAGAGCTAAGTTTCTCTCTGGCATCAAACCTCCTCAAAAAACAAGTTTCATATCCAAAGTAATTCCTTTTCATGCTCTCTTTGGTGTATTACTTGCACTTGATCTAGATATACTCTTTCCATGCTCTCTTGGGTGTATTACTTGCACTTGATCTAGATATCCTCTTTCATTGCTCTCTTGGGTGTATTACTTGCACTTGATCTAGATATCCTCTTTCCATGCTCTCTTGGGTGTATTACTTGCACTTGATATAGATATCCTCTTTCCATGCTCTCTTGGGTGTATTACTTGCACTTGATCTAGATATCCTCTTTCCATGCTCTCTTGGGTGTATTACTTGCACTTGATCTAAATATCCTCTTACCATGCTCTCTTGGGTGTATTACTTGCACTTGATCTAAATATCCTCTTTCCAGACATCTTGACCAAGGGTAATACACTGCATCACCGTATGATGATCGTAACAGAAGCGTTTGCGCCTCCTACGTCACTGACCCTTGGAAATGTGTTCTGCATAAGATTTTTTTGCCAAATTGTTGTTGTTGTTTTTTGCATTTTGTGTTTAGATTTTTTTTATATTTACCTCAAAATTCTGTGAGGGCGAATTTACGGTTCGTACCCCGAATTTATTGATCACGCTTTTCAACTTCCGTATGGGCGAAATTCCATAACCCGAACGCCCGTAACGCGAGGTCAGACTATATTATGGTCTTTCTGAAAACCTGTATATGGCCACTAAAGACAGATTCGTCAAATCATTATTATTGTGCATGAAGTAATGTCATACAAACCATCTATCTATTGACATATAACATTATGTACCATAATAAATGAGACATTTAATTGTATTATACATATTTAATTATTGACACACGCTATTATCAGAAAAACATTTCGTTGTTCTTACATATTTTATTAGTGACACAAGTCTGATCAGAGAAACATTTTATTTTAACATATTTTATCAGTGACACACGTCTGATCAGAGAAACATTTTATTTTAACATATTTTATTAGTGACACACGTCTGATTAGAGAAACATTTCGTTATTTTAACACATTTAATTAGTGACGCACGTCTGGTCAGTGAAACGTTTCTTTGTCAGACACGAGTATGCTACTCTACTATAGAGTAAAACACAAAATGATCAGATACACTTAGATAAGGTGATGCATATGGAGTAGGTTACGTTTCTAAATTGATATTTATTTAAAATTCTGTAGTGAAATGAAATCATAAATCTATTCTGTGTTCAAACATAATCAGTAGCCCTCTTTATTATCAAACATAATCAGTGTCCCAATCTGTATTTAGACCAATTATGGTCACAGAAAATTTGTGACTTATTCTGAATTAAAACATAAACTATACGCCACTATACAGTCACATGGAACCACTAAAAATGTTGCAATAAAGTAGAAAACACAAACTATACGCCACTGTACAATCACATGGAACCACTTAAAATGTTGCAATAAAGTAGAAAACACAAACTATATGCCACTATACAATCACATAGAACCAGTAAAAATGTTGCAATACAGTAGAAAACACAAACTATACGCCACTATACAATCACATGGAACCAGTAAAAATGTTGCAATAAAGTAGAAAACACAGACTAAACGTCACTATACAGTCACATAGAACCAGTAAAAATGTTGCAATAAAGTAGAAAACACAAACTACACGCCACTATACAATCACATAGAACCACTAAAAATGTTGCAATAAAGTAGAAAACACAAACTATACGTCACTATACAATCACATAGAACCACTAAAAATGTTGCAATAAA